CTTTCAAATGGAGCATGTTCAGAATGTGATTTAAATCATTATTTAGATAATGGTTTATGTTTATCATGTGAAAAAGAGTCATCATCAAAATATTCTCGTTGTTATTTAAATTCAAAAGGAGAATTAGTTGGAACTCAATGTGGTAATGGATATTATAATAATACAAATAATGAATGTACTTTATGTGACGTTAATAAACAATGTAAGACATGTTCTCCAATTACAGGGAATTGTGTAAGTTGTGATTCAACAAAAATATTAATAGAAGGTTCATGTGTAGAACAATCAACAGTCCATTGTTTAACTTCTAGAAATTCAAGATGTACTCAATGTGATATAACTTCATATTTAATACAAGGAGTTTGTTATGAAACTATTCCATGTTGGTGGTCTAATAAAATAACAGATAATTCTCAAGTAGAAACATCTGATAGTTATTCTATAGATCCTAATACTATTATGGTTAATAATTTATGTTTTGATAAATTCTCAACACATTGTCTTCAAGTAAGTACAAATACTCATAGTTGTACAGAATGTGCAAATGGATATTATTTATTTGGAGGTTTATGTCTTCAATGTTCTTCTTTCTATGAACATTGTATTGATTGTGGAGAAATTCAAATGAATAATTTTACTCATACTGTGTGTACATATTGTGAAGAAGGATATTATAGTGATGTTGGATGTAGTCCTTGTAGTATGATAAATGGTTGTAAGAAATGTGAAAATATATTAAGAAAAGGAGATATGTCAACAAAGATTTGTTATGAATGTATTGATGGATATGAACTAATAAATGGAATATGTAAACCACTTTTAAATTGTGTTATGGCAACTGGATCATTTTGTCATGTTTGTCGTAAGAATTATCTTCCTCAAAATGGAAGATGTGTTCCAATGAAAGAAGTAATTCCAAAATGTTCTTCTACTTTAAATGGTAAGTGTAATTCTTGTGAAAAAAATTATTATCTTACTAGTACAAATGAATGTCGTTTATGTAATATTAAAGGTTGTTTAACTTGTTCAATTGATGGAACTTGTACTTCATGTGAAAATGGTTATTGGTTAGATAAACGATTTTGTAGTACATGTGATTCAATAGCTAATTGTATTGAATGTAATACTGATAGTTCAGGATGTTTGTATTGTAAAGAAGATTATTATGTTTCAAATGGATTATGTGTTTCTTGTTCTTCTGGAATTACTGACCATTGTAAGTCATGTTTACAAAAAGGTAATACAACTACGTGTACTGTATGTCAAGATGGATATTCTCTTCAAGATTCAAAATGTCTTGAATGCAAGAATCTTGATGCCTTATGTTTAACTTGTTCTGCATCAGAACCTCGTTGTTTATCATGTACATCAACACATTTTCCAATGGGAAAACAATGTTTAGAATGTTCTACAAGATTAGCTCATTGTCTTAAATGTTCAAGTTCAGAAGAATGTACTGAATGTGAAAGAGGATATTACTTATCTAATGGAGAATGTTTTCCATGTTCAGGTATGAAAGGGTGTCAAGTATGTAGTAGTGGAACAGTATGTACAACATGTGCTGAAATTTATAGACCATTAAAAAAAGGGAATGAAGTGATATGTTCTTTTGATGGAGGAGTAGAACATTGTAGGACATTTACAACAGAAGGAATATGTACAGAATGTTATTATCCTTATACATTAGATAGTTCATCAAATGTATGTCTTGATTGTCTTTCAACAATTGAGAATTGTGGGGAATGTTCAACACAAACAAAACAATGTATTTCATGTGTTTCTAATTTATATTATTTAAATAAGGATAAAATGTGTGAATTATGTTCAGTAAGTGTGCCTTATTGTAAAACATGTTCTTCTGATGGTAATTGTCTTTCATGTATTTCTGGATATGAATTAGAGAGTAATAATTGTAAACCAAAAAATAATAAAGAGAGTGTTAAATATTATAATAACAAATATGAATATAAGAGACTTAATTCAAGTATTAAATATGTATCTTCAAATGATAATACATTTGTTAAATGTCAACCGAATTGTAAAGAATGTAATGGTAATGAATGTGTTAAGTGTGATGATTATTATTATTTAGACAAAACAACGACAACAACATGTGTTTCATGTTCAAGTCATTGTATTTCATGTAATACTAGTAATGTCTGTATAAAATGTGATTCAAAAACATATCTTTCTAATGGAAATTGTATTGATATTCCAAAGTTACATTATAAAAAAACAGAAAGTAGTACTGAATTATGTTCTAAGGCAATTTTTTCATGTTCAACATGTTCAATTAATCAAGAAAATGTAATATGTAATTCTTGTATTAAAGGATATGCATTCCATTCAAAAGAACAACGTGTTTGTGTTTATCATCAGGGATTAATTGATTCAGATGGAACAAGAATTTTATGTCCGAAAGGATGTAATATTTGTGATAAAAATTTACGATGTTTAAGTACATATAGTGATAATTCCTTTATTCAAAATGGTCAAATAGTAAAAATGACAAATTCTAATGAATGTCTTATATTTGAAACAGACATCGGTTGTACTTCATGTAAATCTTCAATTACCTCAAATGGAATTTGTTTACCAACTACTTCTCAGTGTAAATATCAAATAGTTAATTCTGATGGTTCTACTGTTTGTATTAAAAGTAATGTAGTTAAACAATTACCTCTTAAAACTACTGATACAGTTGAATTTCAAACAACAGTTACTACTTGTTCAAATGGTAAATATTATGGAACAACAACATGTACAGAATGTTCAAATACTTGTTCAACATGTAATAATAAAATGTTATGTACATCTTGTAAAGAAGGAATATTAACTTCTGATGGAAAATGTGTTACAGCAAATAATTGTGAAACATTTACAAATTCATCATGTGTTAAATGTAAATCAAATTATTATCTTTTAGATAATAATTGTATAAAATGTCCAGAAGGATGTCAAGAATGTGTAAAAATTCAATCAGGAATTAAATGTAGAATGTGTAGTAATTCTTCATTCCTTTTAGTTAAAGGAACATGTATTTCATTAGAAGAAGCACATTGTAAAAGTAAATTAAAAAATTATCCATATTGTTATGAATGTGAAAGTGGATATAAATTAAATAAAGATGGTTCATGTGAATCAATTTCTATTAAAGATTGTAAATATATCTTTAGAGGTGAATGTATTAGATGTTTAAGTCAAAACTTATTACTTTCAGATTTAGGAGAAATGACTTGTGATGAAAAGACAACCGAAAGATGTTTAGTTGATTCACAAAGTGGTTGTTTAAAATGTGTTGATGGATTTTATCAGGATAATCAAAATAATTGTCAACCATGTGATATTTCATGTCTTAGATGTGATGGAACATCAAAAAATTGTAGTTCATGTAGTTTTGGATATTATTTTAATGATGAAGGAAATTGTGAATATATTGGAGAATTAGCTCATCAATGTAAGAAATTTGTTCCAAATGGAAGAAGTTGTGCAGCTTGTAATGATGGATATATTCTTCATGATGGTGGAACATGTGAAGAATGTAATGAAAAATGTGTTAGTTGTATTAAAAATAAAGATATATGTTTAGTTTGTAATGTTCAAAGAGGATGGTTTTACGATGAACAACAAGTTAATGAATTTGAAAGATGTCAACCAACTTCATCTCTACAACATTGTAAACAATTTGAACAAAAAGGATGTTCATTATGTGAAAATGGATATTTTGTTAATGCAAAACATCGTTGTTCACCATGTAAAATTGAATCTTGTTCTGAATGTACATCTAATCGATGTAATAAATGTAATGATCAATACGTTTTAAATCATCAAACTTGTATACATTGGAAAGACATTAAAAGATGTGTTTCATATGATTCATCAACCAAAACATGTAGTAAATGTCAATCTTTATATATACCAACGAATGATGGAGCAGAATGTGTTTTTAATACAATAAGTTTAGTTTTAGTTATTGGATTGCCATTATTTGGGATAGCAATTATTATTGTTTTAACAATAATAATTATTTCATATATTTTATTTGCATTACATAAAAAGAAAAAATTAGAAGAAAGAAAAGCAAAAATCACAGAACAATATATTGATGTTTTAGAAAGTGAAGGAATTCATTTAAAACCTTTTGGTGGAAATAATTCCTTTGTTGTTAGTAATACTGATTGTTTAGAATTTTATGGAGAAATTGATGATGAAGTTCCTGTTGGTTTAGAAACAATTCAAACAATGTTTATTGGAAATAAAAATGCTAAAATAATAAAATGTCAATTTAGTTATAAATCAATGGATGAACGTGTAAGAGTTAGAGTTGAACCAGAACTTATTGATATTAAAAAAGGACATGCAGTGCAATTTAATATTTCAATTCTTCCATTTTGTTCATGTGAAATGGATGAAATTATTCTTTTTACTGCTGTTGATATAAAAACAAATAAAATTATTGAAATTCCTGTTCATATTATATTTAAAACAGTTTTAAGTACAAAACTTGATTATAATGATTTACAAATAAAGAAGCAAATTGGTAAAGGATCATTTGGAATAGTTTATGTTGGAGAATTTAGAGGAAGTAAAGTTGCAATTAAACGAATGATTGAAAATGCCAGTGACACAAAACAATTAGAAGAATTTGAGAAAGAAGTTGCAATGTTAG